ATTTTCTCTTTGTTTCTCTCACAATGTTTTCTCGATATCTTTGATTTTGATTTCAAAATGATGTTTTCCACTGAATGAGTATATTAGCATCCGTGTCTTTCTCAAAGAATTCTGACATGATTGATTTTTCACCTCTTCACTTGTCTCATTCAGTTCACTTTGAAGATCAGTTTCCTCAATCTCATTAATAGCTTTCATTTTCTATTTTGTTGTGTAGTTTGTTCTCAGTTTCCATCATGCACTGCGAAGACTCCAGGACCACTTGCTGTATTTTGTCTCAAGTTTCCTGTAGGCTGAAATCTCCAGAGAATTTCTGAAGCTGAAGACGAATCGTTCATTCAGTAAAGCCTCCCAGAGATCTTTTAATACGATCTTTGAAGTCTTTCAGCATCATTCCATCTGATCTTGAAGCATGAGAAAGGATAGATTTTTTTAGTTCTTGAATATTCTCACAGTAGTTTGGGTTTGGTGGTGCCATCGGTGGGCTGCCTTCCCAGAGCTGAGCGAAATACTTCACATCTTTCTGAATATCAAATTCAATGACATCACTGAAACTTTCTGCATCACAGACTTCCTCTTCAGCAGCAAGTTTTGTCATCTCATCCAGTTTCTGCAGCAGTCGTCTCCTTCCCTCCATGTTTTTCTCTCCAGCCGTGATGTCTGAAACGTTCTGATGCACAAACACACAGCTGGGATTCAGTCTGACCTTCTTCATCCTCAGGAAGGCCTGAACAACAATCTGAAGAATGTCCTGCATCTCAGATGGGTTTTCTCCAAAGATGTTGATCAAGGTCAGATTTCCTAGACCAACAACAAATGTGGCCAATTCATTGTCATGATGCTGTATTGATCTTCCAGCCAGTTCTAGAGCACGAAGACCCTCAGTATCAACAACCAGAATATAGTCAAACTTCATCTGTGTTTTCATCTCGTCTGAGACTTTGACCAGCTGCATGAAAGCTCCTCTGGTGCACCTGCCAGCACTGACGGCAAACTGGAGTCCAAACATGGCGTTCAGCATGGTGGATTTCCCAGAGCTCTGAATCCCTAAAACTGACAGCACAAAGACTCTCTGTCTCCCAGTTTCTGGATGAGTTTATCTAGAACAGCAGAGATCCAGATCACAGGAACATGAGCAGCATCTCCATCCATCAGCTCCAGTGGAAATCCAGATATCATCATCTCTGCTGCGAGACTCGGGAGAGAAGAGAAGTGAAACGGCAGATCTTTCTTGTTCTTCTCCACAGATGAACATGATTCATAGATCTGACCGATCTCCCTCATGATGTGCTCCACCCCAAATGTTGCTGCTTGAAGTTCCTCAGATATTCTCTCAAGGTCAGATTGTTCATCTTTAAGTTTTTCAGAATTATCATTTTTCTCTTTCAGTTTTAAGACATTTGACCATGTTTCATCATATTTGTGATGCAGATTAGAAAGGTCAGCTGATGTATATTCATCCAGGAGGATTCTGAGCCATTTGAGAAAAAACATGTTCTTATTTGCAGCATTTGAGTTCATTTCTTTAATAAAAGACTTCATAAACTCGCTGATGCCATGCGTATGCTGTTGTTGGCGAATTTTCTTCATTTCTGTCTGTTTTTTACTTATTTCCTTTTCAATCTCATCTGCTTTAGGTCGATGTAGTTCTTTGTTCTTCTGACTCCACTGATGCCACAGTTTCCCCTGATGAGGCAGAAATGAGTCTTTGATTTCTGTCAGATCTTTCTTCTCCAGTAAACTCATCATCTGCTGTGCTGCTTCTCTTCCTCTCCTGCAGTCTTCATCATCTTCCTCATCTACTCTGATGTCTGAGTGTTTGGACACATCTTCAAGTCTGAAAGTGGAAGATGATTCTGAAGATGAGAGACAAATATTTATAGCTCTTCTGAGTTCTTCAGACACATCTGATTGATTTCTGTCTTTCAGTCCAATCTTGTATTTTCCTTTCCGTGTCTCAATGAGAGTTGAAACATCCTCGGTAAAAAGACAAATGAGTGGCTTTGAGTCCTTGTAGAGGTTTTGAACTTTTATTATGCTTCTGTCATCCCTCTGAAGTTGTGGTAGAAGAACAACATTGACTGAGGCCATTTCAGTGAGGATCTTCAGTTGTTTCTCTTGATCTCCAGCATCACCGTGTAGATTACAGAACGCAACACAGTCAGTGAATTTATCCGTGTTTTTCCCAGAGGGGCAGAACCAGGCGATCTCCACCACTCCATCCATCAGGACTCTGGTTCTGCTGCTGCCTGGACAGTTCCTGTGGAAGAACGTGTTGTGTTTCTCATTGATCAGACTGTTCATCAGCTGAGACTTGGATGAAGACACAGAGCCAAACCTGAAGAAAGACACCATTGGAGTTTGTGCCTTGTAGATCGGTTGGGTTTGACTGATGATCTCATTGTTGGTGTTTTTCATCTTCCAGCTCTTGTTGATTTGTCTGAATGTCCAGAGAGGAAACTCAATCTGTTGTGTGAATGGATCAGGAACAAGCAGAGGCAGAGCGTACTGACACTGGGACAGTTTAGTGACCATCAACTGCTTCAGGAAACCATCAGCACAATGAAACACAGCCATCTGAACATCCATCGGGTGGATTCGCTCAGACTGATTTGATCCTTCATTAGACAAAAACATTTCTTCGAAAATGTCACACTCATATTTAGCTGAGTCATTATCTCTTTGTTGTATTTGTCCCCATTCATTGGCCTTATTAACATGAATATATCTTGCTCTGTAGTCCATCATCAGTAGTTTTTGTAGGAGAGTCTGAATCAGCTCCTCTTCAGCACAAGATTCACGAGACTGTAAGGAATGTTCAGTTAACTGAACAACATCTGCAGCTCTCAGTTCATGATCATTCCTGCCTTTAAGATTCAGTCTGTCAAAGAGCTTTTTTGAGCATGTAAGCATTTCCTTTTCTTGTTGATCTGGTTTCTCTCTGTGTGTTCTAAGCTCTTCTGTAGTTCCCTGTGAGAAAAAAAATATTATTATGTTACATTATTATTTTTATTTCTTTATAAATGTTGTTACTTTTATTATTATTATTCCAATTAGAACAATTGTAACAGTTTATTCATATTGTGAACGCTTAAACTTTTCATGCAGGACTGATTTGTAGCAAATGTTGAGATTGTTAGGTTGCATGGTTGTTCTTTTTCCACTAATAAACATTTACTGTATGTAAAAATAAAACATTTACATGGATAGACATAGATACAAGCCTATGAAGGAGTGAGACAGCTCTCAGATTTAATAAAATATACCTTTATCTGTGTTCCGAAGATGAATGAAAATCTTTCGGGGTTTGAACCACATGAGGGTGAGAAATTACTGACAGAATTTTCATTTTTGGGTGAACTATCCCTTTAACCTCCATGTCCACCATCGGAGCTCATATTCTCAAAGGCAAGTTTTAATGTCTTAATAATAAGATATTTCTCCCAGACAACATGAACAAACTAGTGTTACTTTCTCCAAATATGAGAAGAGATAGCCTAATTGTCCATATCAGTGTAATATTTCAGCTGGAATTCTTTTTATTTATTTTTAGATAATCAGCAAAATCCCCAGTGTTAAATGAACACTGAAGCAGTGTTAAAGTTAAGGAGATAATTAAGTGAATAATTAAGGGACGATTGAGCATTACTGAAGACACCTGATGTTAACAAGCAGAATCACTGAAGGACAAAACCGGAATTTTTAAGTCACCAATATGGTGAATAGTGTTTGCTTTAGTTGGGCTCTTGACCCTCAATTCATTAACTTTAGATTTTGTTTGGCTGCAGTACATGATTTATAACAGCCAGATGAACAAATAGAAAAGGTGATCTGATGGTGAACTTTTATAATCTATTCAAAATAATTTCTTAAATGTTTTTTTAAGACAGACATCAATAATTAACCTGTGAATCTCAACAATGGTGACAATTATAAAGCATGTTGCAGTGCATTCTGGGTGCCACCAATCAAAACTCTTTCATGGCTCCCATCATGTATTGCTGCATGAATAAATAATGAGCTTATGTTTAGAGGTGATCTGTTTGTCACCATTGCTGAGATTTATACGCTAATTCTAGATGTCTGTGTGTGCCTACATATTTATTATTATTTTTTTTTTTTATTTGATCGTTTGGATTTCATTGAAAGGGCTAAAAATGGTCTAAAATGATGTGCTGTTAAAATCCTTAAGGTAAATTTAACTCAGAATTCATGCTTTTGATGACTTCATCAATTCAGGTCAGTTAATGGTTATGTTAAAACACAACCAACACCATCAGATCGCCTTCTCTATTTGTTCATGTTATAAATCATATACAGCAGCCAAACAAAATCTAAAGTTAATGGTTTAAGGGTCAAGAGCCCAGCTAAACCAAACACTGATCACCATAATGGTGACTTAAAAATTACGTTTTTCGCCTTCAGAGATTCCGCTTGTTAACATCAGGTGTCTTCAATAATGCTCAATCATCACTCAAGTATTCACTTAATTATCTCATTAACCTTAACACTGCTTCAGTGCTCATTTAACACTCTGCTCAGAGTTTATATAATTCACACTTCTCAGTGTTAATTTAACACTCTCAGGGATTTTGCTTTGTATAATGCATATTTATTTTGTTGATGTTAAGTCTATTTGTTTATCAGCCTGATTATGTTTGCACTGAGTATTCTCTTTGAAGTGTTTTAGTTTGCTGTATATTTATTTATTTGTCTGTTTATTTTTTATATTATATCGTACTTTAAAAACAATAATTTGTTAAATTACACGTAGTTAGTCAACCAAAATGCCTATTACCGCCACCACAAGAGTGCAGCGTTAAATACAACATGTGACACTCTTTTGCAAAATCACCACCAGGTAGAGCAAAACTGTAAAAAAAAAAAAAAAAAATCAAAAGATTTATAATAAATTAAAACAGAAAATTTAGGAAAAAAAATCATCTTTTGGAAATTGATCTAAATGCCTTAGTTAAAAAATGTGGAAAAATCCAACCTTTAAGGACACCAATTTTCTTTGTGAATGAATGATGTATCATAAATGAATAAATGTTCTTCCATAAAATACAGGGTGCATAAGTTAGGACACCCTTATTTTAAATCCCCATAGAGGCAGGCAGATTTTTATTTTTAAAGGCCAGTTATTTCATGGATCCAGGGTGCTGTGCATCCTGATAAAGTTCCCTTGGCCTTTGGAATTCAAAAATCCCCACATCATCACATACCCTTCACATACCTAGAGATCGTTATGGTTTTTATTTCAGCTAGCCTAATAGCTGGTTTGATTTGCATTGAGAGATGATCTTATAGAAAGTACCCCATGCCAATTTCTAGGTATGATGAAGGGTATGTGATGATGTGGGTCTATTTTATTATCATTAAAACAACTGAATTTTGAATTGGAGGATGTTCCTATCAAGCAGCGATACGAGTCGGCTAATAAATGTGCACAAACCAGCTCTTACCTTGTGTGGGTCTCTTGTCTCTGTTGCGGTGTGCTCCCTTGTTTCTTTATTGATTGAATGTTCATCTTATGAAATAAAGATAAATATAAATTACATGTTGTAGATTTTGTTCTTATCTAACATATATTATTGCAGTTTTCCTGTCATACTTTCATTAGATCTGGATAGAGCACCCAATTCCACTTAGATGGGTGGAATAAATCACTATACCACAGATTCACATAAGATCATCGCATAGATCTGATATAAGGTGGTTGGGATTTGTTATGACTTTGTACACCATACTATCTTTATTTGTAACTGCAATAAGTTGTAATAAAACAACCGAAATAAATTTACCTTTTTTAACTGACATTTTCAAAATGACACTCCTTGGTTGAGGGAGCAACTTTTTTCCAAACAATTAACATTTCTTACTGATGTATCATGAAGTCCTATCTCCATCCACACATGTCTAGGACGTTTAGTTAAAATAGATTAAAAAGCATTCTCACCACTTTCACATTCACTCTTTTTCAACTCTTCTTTCTGTCTTAATGCTGTATTGTTTATCTCTCTTGTGTAACACTGCTGTTGATTCTCATTAAACAGAAGCTCAATCTTGTTCATCAGTTCTCTCATCTCTGATTGGTTGTTCATCCTTTTGTTGCAGGTTTGATATCTTCCTCCACATTTCTCCAGCAGTTGCTCCAGAACAGGGTTTTTCTTCAGATCATCTATTATAATGTCAGTCTCTTCTTCTCTCTCGTAGGTGAGGAGAATCATCACAAACTGAAGAACTTTGTCACCAAACACTCTCTGAAGCCATTCCAGAACCATCTGATCATCATTGGTTAACTGGCCCAGTCGCACAACAAAGATGAAGGCATGGATTTCATTTTCATTCACTAGCTGACCAATGAGAGTATCCACACAGTCCAGGTAAAGTTCAGTCTCATGTAAACCAGTTATGTTGAGCACAGAGATGTGACGTTCTGATATCTTCCTCTGCAAAGGAACAATTCTGGACATTTCTGCATTTTCTGTATTAGTCTGTTTTTCTCCTAGAAGAATGTTTTCATGTCCAAACTGGACTGATGAAGAATTCCCAAAGAACACAGCGGTCACATTGGGAAACGTGTGATCTAGAATAAATACACAAAGAAAACTCTTAAATTCATCAGAAATCTGATGTCATCTGAATCATCTGATCATTATTGATTATTTTTGTGAATGATTGGATGCATTGAATATTGTGTTTTTCCTACCCATGATGTCACTGTGTGATGAGTCAATGGTTTAGGCCACAGGTGACCGTTTCTCCATGGCCAGCAGATTTAGATGTTCACTTCTGCTGATTGTTCAATCCTACAATGTCAACATTCACTGATTAATCATTTACATTTAATCATTCAGCACTTTTTTATCCAAAGCGACGTACAAATGAGGAGGGCAATACAATTAAAGGTCCCGTTCTTCGTGATCTGTTAGAGTATAAGTAATATCTGTAAAATAATGAAGCTCAAAGTTCAATGCCAAGCGAGATATTTTATTCAACAGAAGTAGCCTACATCGAACGGCCCGTTTGGACTACCTCTACTTCCTTCTTTAATGACGTCAGTACAATGAACGTCCGCCCACAGGAATGCTCCCTCAACTTCTTGTAACTTACTGTGTTTACTCAGCTCTTACGGTGATTTTATGGAGTAAAACTGACGCTTTATTTTTTGTGTGATGTACAATAAACTTTATTAAACTCATCAGTATATGTGTGATCATCATTCGGACTTTGTCCGAAACAGCAGACTTGAAGGCTATTAAATTAAGGCAATAATGGATACATACAAGCAGATGACAAATACGTTATAATATCCGTAATTAAACTACTAAACTATACCTGTTCCATCTCTATACAGCCCTCTGACTCTGTAGGCAATATTGTCCGACTCGAAATGAACACCGTTACTGAGAGTTTCTGATATTATCATCATTCCATGAGGTGAGATTGTCCTGAGAGACTGAGCGCGAGCTCATGAAGCTCCGCCCCCTGTGCCGACAGCAGCAGCAGCTCATTTGCATTTAAAGGGCACACACTAAAATGGCACGTTTTTCTGAGCCCCAAAAAATGACAATTTAAACACGCTGTAAAAAATGATCTGTTGGGTATTTTGAGCTGAAACTTCACGTACACATTCTGGGGACATCAGAGACTTATTTTACATCTTGTGAAAAGGGGCATAATACGGGACCTTTAAACTAACAATATGACAAAAATACTGTATGCAAGTGCTGCGACCATTCCCAGCTTAGTCCAACGCAGTATAAAAATGTTATTTTAGTTTTTTTAAATGGATATAGAATAGAAAAAAAAGTGTTATTGGAGCTCACCCTCGATAGGCATAGCATCTTACGCACAGAAGCCATCTATACAATGGATATTGTAGTGGGAATGTATCTACAGTATATCAACCCGATCACACTAAATGTGTCTTTATAGCACGCATGTGTATTGCCGTGTAATTTATACGCTAAAGTGAGTTTTTACGTGCATAGGATACAGGTTGGTTAGGGTAGGTTTAGTAGTGCTGTGGGGTGTGTGTATTATACGTTTGGGTAGAATTAGTGGTGTGGGGTGCGTGTGTATTACACACAAATGACCTGCGTATCAAATGCACGTGAAAACTGTGTCTCATATGCACGTAAAAACTCATTTTCGTGTATAAATTACGACAATACACAATGCGTGTTATAGAGACACATTTACTTGAGAGCAGGCTGACAGTATAATTCTTTCCACTGATAAGATGGATTTAGCTTTCTGTACCACATGGTTATTATAAAGGTTAGTAAGACTACTTGGCTGAATGCCTAAAATAATTATAAAATACCTAGATAATTTTAAAAAGAGCATTTCTACCGTGCCACTGATATTTTCATAACATTATGTTACTGAAAATGTTAATACACACTCAGTGTGGAATTTGTCAGAGTATCAAAAGGTTTTAACATGAAAAACAATTGCTGTCCTTTTCATAAACCATCTGCATCACAATTACAGTTCCTCTTATTGTCAAACTGCCATGATTGATGAACTGCAATGATCATACTCTGAGGAACTGAGAGCTTCAGCGTGGAGTCAATGAGCATGTCCTGTTTTTATATTTAAGTAAAGAAAATCTGTGTAACACCAATGTACAAAGTAATCTATGACAACACAATGATTAGTTTCAGCAGCGTGGAGGACACTGAAATAGCAGAGTCATCTGAAAACATTAAATATATCTGCTGTCAGGCGGCTTTGGTATCATCATTTTAAATAATTTAAAAAGTGTTTGATTGTGATAAATCTATCAAATAAAGCATTTTAAGTCAAACCTGAGTGCTGATGTCTCCCGGTGTATGTCCGTCCTCCTCTTTGGTTTCCAGATAGCAAGTGAAAGCTCTCTGCAGGCCTTTATATATAGACACAAGTACAACAATTCCTCGAAGTCACATGACATAACAGAAAGTAAAAGTAAAAGTGTTCCATTATGCTAAAAACCCTTTCTATACAGAACCTTTATGATATTTATTAAATGTCAGATTTTCAAACAAATCGCCATTTTTACCCTGGATTGTTGCATTGATTAAAACAGTTTTACTTTCCACATTTTTTAAAGAACAGTCCTTCTCAGTACAGATTTTCTAAAAGCCAAATGGCATCATGTGTTTATTTAAAAAGATTAGACTGGAAATTGCATTTGTGCCCTGCAGAGACACACAAAGCAAAAATCATTTCAATCTCAAGATAGGCCTGTTATTGTTACTGTGATAGAAATATTTTTTGTAATGGGTATTTTCAACATTAAATACAGAGAAATACAGAACAAGGATGCTCAGGTCAACTGTGTAAAGTGCTTAACACAGTAGAACTAACATCATTACAAACTAATCGCCAGAACAAAACGCAGTGAAGAAGACTTGAGTGACAATGATTTATACGCAACTGAATGATATAAATGTACATGTATCTTTCTATTCTGGAGACTCACTTGGTTGTTGTGGCCCGTGATCTCCCGGCCGTGAATAAAACGTCATTTTGGTCGTGTCAGGTACATGCTGCGCAGCTGAGACACAGATTCTACACTCAAAAGACATCAATAAAACATCTATGTGTGATTGGGGTAGTGATAGAAGCTTCTTGACGGGACCCCGTCACCTTACTTCATGGAAGTATTGTAAGTATTCTGGAAATTGCCTTGAGATACTGTAGTTATTATTTTAACAACTGCAAGTTCTGTAAATCGTCCGTGGTGAAGGAGACAGATTAGATTAGACATATTAAGAATGTCCACAACACTACTATGCAACAATTCCAATAACTTTTTTTAACTTTCATCTGTATTTGGATTCATCTATCTTTTATTTATAAAAAGAAAATCATTTTTGTTATTTTTAATTTTGATTTACATTTCTGTAGGCCCACCTGGATTTTTGAGTTGTATTTATTTGTGCTATTGTTAATTTGTACTTTTTTGTCACAAAATGACTTAAATTCATCTGAACAAGGTTTCAGCCAGTCCCAGTTTAGATAATCAGCTAAAATAATTTCAGAGTAGTCCAATTGCATCCTCTTGCATTCCCAGTTCTTGCATCCTCCTTTGGAATATCTCTGGTGCCGATGTTATTCCAAATGGGAGCCGTTTAAAGCAGTAGCGGCCATTTGGTGTGATGAAGGTAGTTAACTTTGAACTTTCTTCATCTAGGGCCATCTGCCAAAATCCACTGGCAGCATCCAGAGTTGTGTACACCTTACTTCTGGCCAGTTTGTGCAAGATTCTGTCTGTGGTCGGCAAGATTAACTTTTCCCTTTTTACGCTCTCATTCAGTTTAGTAAGACCTACACAGATTCTTACTTTTCCAGTCGACTTAATCACATGCATCATAGGCGCTACCCATTCTGTGGGCTCCGTCACACGCTCTATTATGCCATTTTCTTCCATTCGCTTCAGCTCTTCTTCTACTTTAGGTAGCAGTTGAATGGGTATCCGTCAAGGGGCTGCGACGCTGTATGGCTTAGCGTTTTCTTTTAGGACTATTTTTATGGGGTCTCCTTTAAGCAGTCCTAACTCCCCAAACACACTGATTTCTTCATTGTGTTTTATCAGACCCAGGCGAATACCGACAGATCTGCTGAGTAGGTTATCACATGTAGACTTCGCCACTATTACCCTAAAGTAACAGTCTGTTATGGTCTTGTGTTTTAGCTAGGAATTGCCCCAAATGGACCACTTTTCCTCCTGGACTTTCCAGTTTAGAGGTAACTGGACTAAGTTTTGGCTTAACACGGAGGCGGGTATATGTAGCCTCATTTATTATCGTTGTGTCAGCACCAGAATCTATCTTGAAGCTAACTGGAGTATGGCATATAACTAGAGTTGTGCGCCATGGTGGCTCTGTATCAGTGATGACTTCATCCACTGTAGCCTTATTCTTGGTTGTAGTCTCATTTATTGAGTCTAAGAATAAGCTGTCAACTTCTTCAGTCACTTCCTGTACCATTCTGGTTTTGCATTTGTTTGCAAAGTGACCAATTTTGTGGCATTTTTTACATTCTCTGTCTTTAGCTGGGCATTTGTCTCTTGCATGTCTGCGCCCACATCTTCCACAGTTTTTCCGTTCATTTTCTTTTCTTCCTCCCATTACCTCATACTGTGTTTTTTTCCACTTACTTTTATAAGGCTTTGATTTTACTTCATCAACGTGCCCTGATGCGCCAGCCTCGCTGTTCTGTTGCTTCACTAGCTCAGAGTGTCTGGCCATGTCAACTGCCTTTTTCAGAGTGAGGTCACTTGTCATTTGTAATTTCAATGAAAGATCTTTGTCTTTAATCCCTATGACCAGTCTATCTCTTATTTCCTCTTCCTTCTCATGAAAGTCACAGTGAGCTGTGAGTTCATACAGGTGCCTTATGTACTGTTCAACGGACGTACCCGCCTCTTGCGTTTGCGAGTGGAAACGTGCTCTCTCAAAAATCACGTTCCTTTTCGGTAGGGCTGGGTACCGAGTTCGGTACTTTTTTAGGTACCGACCGAATTGCCTCGGTACTACCGAGTATCGAAACATGTCTTGTTTTTCGGTACCAAATTTCGGTACCTAAGTGGTTAATCTCGTCAACGTCAGTGAAACAATAAGCACGCAGCATAAAAGGCTGTGGCGGAAAACACTAGTTTACGCGGCTGCTCAGAGACATAGCTCAACGCACGTGAGTGTGTGATTGTGTGTGCATGCGTGTAAGCGTCCCAACCCAGATGGATAGAAAATATGTGGAAATGATCCAAAGTGTATCTGTGTGCCAGACTCGATACCAGAAGCACGCGATCCAATATTTTTGACAGGATAATTGCCGCCAAGACCAGTAACACGGTAAATCTGATAAGCGCGCAGACACTTGTTGAGAGTACAAAGTCCGTCTTCGACTGCAAGAACTCATCCGCGTCACAGATGAACCGACACTCAGCATAAGGGATACTTGCCTCATAGACATGAGAAATAGGCCTATAGACGGTCAAAATATGTCTACTTTTAAACAAAACAATTAGAAATGAATAGTTTGATTTCCTGATCCATATAACGTTACTGTAGGCGCGCGCATTCACTGCTGCAGGAATGACGAGTCAGCATCGCCATAATCATATTTGTTGCCCACAGACTTATTAAACACTTGTTCATTAATAAACGATTAAAAATATATCCTTGCTGTTGTTTCCCGACACATCCATAATCATTAGGCTTCTGTTGCCAGTGCTTTGCGGCAAGCTTCACGTGTGCTGAGCGCGAGGCATATATCCCGCCCCCCAGTAGCCTATACTTAATATATACTTAATTAATTCACTTTTATTTGTATAGCATTTTTCACAATACATATCGTTTCAAAGCAGCTTTACAGAAAATGCATGTTTAAATTACAATTTAAAGTGATCTGTTATCAGAGGTGTCAGTGTAATGCATTTCAATTAATTTTCATTCAATTTCATTGTTAATACATTAAGATAAGGCAGAAACAATGAGCTCACTGAGGTAAAGAAAACATGTTGTTAAATGATTAGGAAACATAGAAAACTTTAGCATTGGTGCTTTTTTACATACTCAAAATATGAGTCTGAACTGAAAAATAACTGAAAAATACAACTGAAAAATAAAATAAAAATGTAGGTAATATTATATTGATAAAACTGGTTACATAATATTGGTATCGAAAAAGGTATTGTTCAGGAACCGGTATCGAAGTCAAGGTATCGGTATCAGTATCGAACATTTTGTTTCGATACCCAGCCCCCACTTTTCGGCACAAAGTGCTCATCAAACAGCCTCAGCACATAGTCAAAATCCACTTCCTCTTCATCCTCCAAGACAAATGATTTGTACACTTGTTCTGCCTCTGGGCCCATAGAATAAATCGATGCACTGACCTTAGTTAAGGTTCGTTGCTATTCGGTACCTGGAGAAGCGTTGTTTCCAATCGGGCCAGTCCTCCGGTTTAGCGAAGTTAAGCTGCTCCGGCGCCGTAAACTTTGCCATTCTGGGCGGTTTCCTTCAGTGAAAAAAAAAAAAAAAAGTACCTTCAGTACTTTTTCTTCACAAAAAGAGTACATACTTTTAGGGCGTAGTATAAGTAAGCGAATTGGGACGCAGGGTAAATAAAATTTGTCACCCCATGACCATGGGTGGAGCCAGACGATTTAAACATTGGGGGCTTAGCCCAAACCTATAGGGGGGTCCAGGGGATACTCCCCCGGGGAGATTTTTTTCTCGTTTACGTCAGCTAAATGCACTATTTTCCAGGCTGTTTGAGATAATAGAATGCGTAAAAATCTATGTACTATCTGGGAAAATTATGGTAGTTAATCAGTATAATAAATAAATAAAAAAACACCCATTTGACCGAACCTATTTTGTATTGTATTGCATCTATCGTTTGTATTGCTTCTGCTAAAGAAAATAGTCCTTTCCGTCTCTGAACGCTTCCATGGCAGCGCTCTGTTTTTCATGGCAACGGAGCAATACTAAGCAGTGTCCGTTATCAAGACAGACCGCATTCTACAGTACATTAAAATTCTACCAAGCCATGTAATAAAGTAAAAAAATGATGCGTTGTCCAAAAAGCTTACATATAATATTGTGGACAGTGATATTAATTTAATTAGCAATATGCTGCTGCTACTATTTATTAATTATTACTGTTCACCATAATTCCTTCAAGTAAATACTAATACGTTTATTACATTATTGCAGGTGCATCTCAAAAATGTATTATAAATATTGTGCTGCACAAGCACCACCAGAACAAGACTGAAAGATTAAATTCTCAGGAAACCTTTGCAGGTATTTTGAGTTGATTAGCTGATTAGAGATCTTGTCAGGGCGCATAAAAAATTCTTTGTTCTAAAAGTCTAATACATTTTGAGATTACTAACGTTGAAAACAAAAATACAACAGTGGCACTTGTCCCTAAATCTAGTGTGTTTAAAGAAAAAAAAAACTACATGTGCAAAATGTATGTCACATGACATCTTATCTGACCCCTTTTTTTTTTTAAACAAAGCATCAATACTCAAGTTCAAATAATGAGTAAAGAAGTTGAGGTTACAGAAACTCTAATTCACATGACAAACTTAACATAAACGAACTAATTCAATAATCAAACCAATGTCAACACAAACGTAACAAAGAACTCAGCAAACGGTCGCAGTTCACAAAACAAAAGGCTGGCCACATCAATTGTGTTCAGGTGCTCCTTTAGTTCCCGCATCTCCTAATGATCCCCGTGATTGGATCGCTCTTTCCCTCCTCTCTGATAAGAAGCCGCAGAGATCAGCCAATGACTGTAACCAGGACAACCAATCAGCGCTTCATTTGCGGCAGAAACACGCAGAAATACAGAGACACCCAAAGTCGCAATCTCTTGTAAATAACCTTTATTCATAACACTTGAACACACCTATTTATAATGTAATCTCAACAAATACACTCAGGTATCTCACTGTCATATCATTGAATCAGGTCAGCATATGATGACTAGAACATCACCAAAATGCCCAACATCAGCTGATATTTTCTCCTGCTTTCATTGCCATAACAAATGTATGTCAAATACACAGTTAAAGCAGCCAGAGTAAAAATAATGGTATAAAATTAAAGGTCAAGAGCCCAACTAAAGCAAACACTGATCTCAATCATGGTGACATCAAATGTTAAAGTTTTTTGCACTTTATTCAAATTAACATATTTTACTTTAATTTAATGGCCGTAGCTGCCAGTCATTTAACCCTTTTTTACGATTTTTTTTCATTGACGGTATTTGATCATCATATTGCAGGAAATACCTGTGAAATAACAGTTTTTTAGTTTATTTACAATAGAATATTTTACTTTAATTTTATGTTTGTTTGATGGGCAGCCTGTGCTGCCAGTCATTTGACCCTTTTTTAACCAGTTTTTACAACGAAGGTATTTCATCATACTAATGCAGGAAATACCTGTAAATAACAGTGTTTTTCAGTTTATTTAATTTATGACGTTTTACTTTAATGTCACAGTTTTTTTGAGCTGCCAGTCATGTAATCACTTAACTGTTTTGTTACCGTTTAATTACAGATTATATTTTTAATTTTAACATTTTTATCTATTTTCAGAAAACATAAAAAATATACTGTATGAAAAATAAAATCAATTTTCTGTAAAAAAAATGTGAATGACTGGAATTTGTCATTAATGTCACAACACCTAAAATATCAGCTGCATTTTTATTTTGCAGATATTATTTGTAATTTTACAGTGTTTTGAGTACAAATTAAAGGGGGGGTTAACTGCTTTTTTTCTTTGCATGATTGTGTTTGTGGGGTGCAATATACCATGTATTCGTGTTTTTTCTTTTTTAAAAAGTCTTATTTTTCATAAAATTCACCTTTATTGTCAGCTTGATTTTTAAGACGATATCTCTGCTTACACTGAACTTTCAGCGCTGCAACTTTAGACACTGTTTATGCACCATCAGCAACATTACACACTATTTAAAATAAAAAAAGTGAAATCGCAATCAACCCCCCCTTTAAAATAAAAGAAAATGATCGTTGAAAAATCACAGTTACGTTCTGTGAAATTAGGATTTTTTTAACAGTGTAGACTGTCCTCAATTAATCGTTGGCTGAGTGGTGTCTGCAAAATAATATAGAATTCATAGACAATTGTAAAAGTTTTTGGGGAACCAAACCGTTCAAGGTCCAAATGAGAGTTTCAGTGCAGCTTCAAAGGGCTTTAAATGACACCAGACAATGAATAAGGGTCTTATCTAGGACCCTTCGAGTCAAGACTCGAAAAAAAGATTTGTTCATTTTGATGAACGAGTTTGAACAGGAGAGTCACGAACGCTCATCACAGAACAGAGCAAGGCGAGCATTTGTGCTTATAAAACTGCAACGTTTTTATTTATTTTTTAAATGAGTGATCGTTTCGCTTGATAAGACCCTTATTCATCGTCTGGTGTCGTTTAAAGCCCTTTGAACAGTTTGTACTGAAACTCTCATTTGGACCTTGAACTGTTTGGTTCCCATTGAAGTCCATTATATGGAGAAAATCCTGGAATGTTTTCATCAAAAACCTTCATTTCTTTTCGACTGAAGAAAGAAAAACATGGACATCTTGGATGACATGGGGGTGAGTAAATTATCAGCAAAAGTTTTTTGAAAAGTGAACTACTCTTTTAATCGACATTAGAACCAGATTAAAAAAAAGATTTGCCGGCAAAACGGTTGTGAACCTGCCAAAAGTTTGCACGCACAAGAAAGCTAATTTTAGTGGTTTAAACCTTGTGCGATCATTTCAGGAAAACGTTTCAATTTCAGGTATGTCATGTGATTTCAAGGAACACAGATATTGTTTATGTGTGTCTATATAAATGCCTGCAGAGCACTTTCATTTGCTTTTGAGAATTCAGGTGATGGACAGATGACACAGAGACAGCGATATTAACACTCAGGTTTGACTTTATTGCTTAAGATTAATTTTAACAGTTTGTTTTCAATTATTACGTATATATTTAAAAGATCATAATTACTGCGTTTACAGTGGCAATGATAGAGTAAAATACTGTACAGTAAAACTTAAACTTGAAAATATAATATACTATAAAATATAAACACGTATAACAGAATAAACACATTTTACTAAATAAATTATAGCTGTAATTTACAACTATTTGAGTGATAGTCTGGTTTTAAATAATAATTTGAACAGACATGGATTTTATAAATTACAGACTTAGTCTGGTGTTCTTCAAAAATTGTAATTTTGCCATATGTAACTTTCTTATTTGCAAATTTGTATTCAATTTGAATTTGTATTAACACATAATCAAACTGTTCCTATTATAGCTGACAACAGACAGAAGTGTTCCAGGGGTTTCCTTAATGTCATGTGATTTCCTTGAGATCAGCAAGAATTTTTCTGCAAGATGCAAATCCTGTTAGACACGATCTTTATCTTAGGTTGTGGAGCAAATACTTTCAGGGCCAGCCCGAGGCATGAGCAAAATAAGCGGCTGCTTGGGGCCCCTTGGCCACCAGGGGCCCCCCCAATCAAGTCGAAAAATATTTTTTTTTAGATTAATTAAACAAGTAACATAAATGAATGGATTACTATGAATGAATGAATAATTAAAGTCAAGAAAATTCTGATTCCATGATCAATATACCTCCCTACAAATGCTGCTGTGTCTGCCAGCATTTAAGTCATGCACATAATCTAGACACCTCGTGTGCATAGACAATTCGTGCGCACTGAGCATAGTCGCAGACTCGCGGTAATGTTAGGCCATGTCACAGAAAAGGACATGTCCCTCTGATGCCCAAAATAGAACGAAGAAAATGACAGAGGAGGAAAAAAAGAACAAGATAAAAGTATGTTTGCATGATTATTTACATTTAGGGCTGGGCAATATATTGCATGATATTGTTATGCGCATCTAATCAGTAAAGCCGGTTCCTTGATTAGTACTAAATCACCTTCACCTGCTTTCAAGATGGAAGATATGATGCAGATATGAGTGTTTAATTAAAACTTAAGAGTGTTAAAGTTAATGAGATAATTAAGTGATTAATTTAGTGATGATTGAGCATTATTGAAGACACCTGATGATAACAAGCAGAATCACTGAAGGAGAAAATCACAAATTGTAAGCCAAAATTATGTCGATCAGTGTTTAAATTAGTTGGGCTCTTGACCCTTATGCTATCACTTTAAATTTTGTTTGTCTGCTGTTATTGATTTATAACAGTCAAATGAACAAAGTAAACTGTGATCTGATAGTGTTGGTTATGTTTTGGCATAATCATGCTGTGATCTGAAAAATGAACCTTTAAATGAACCCTAATCATTAAGATGATCTGTTTTTTCTTGTTAGCAACAAATTTCTTTTTCTACAACATATGATTATCAGTATTTTTCTTATAATCCAGAATATTTAATAAAAAATTGTTCTGATGAAAACACTTTTAAATTAGTTTATTTAGAAACAGACATCAATAATCAGCCTGTGAATCTCAACAATGGTGACAATAATAAAGCATGTTGCAATTGGCTGCTGCCAATCACAACTCATTATTGGCTCCCATCATGCATTACGGAATGAATAAATTATGATCTGAATTGTCTATGTAATTTACTTTTCCTAATTGAATACACTTGTAATCTGGTGTGTGGTGGGTGTTCTGGCACAACCTGCTGATCCAGGTTGATGCTGCACATTGGTGGTGGTTGAGGAGATTCCCCGTTTATGTGAAGCGCTTTGAGTGTCTAGAAAGGCGCTATATAAATGTAATGAATTATTATTATTATCGCCCAAAATATCCGGGATTTGGTTGTTACATTCTACGGTCGCCATTCATTATGTTTACTGTGGCAAGCAGGACCAGACTGAGGGCCGTGGGAGAACGGTGCGAGGCAAGTGGTGTGATTACCGATGAGCGACACCTGTGAGACGCACCGAGAGAACACGCATGAGAGACCTGATGTACAAGATTGAGCTTCTGTTTCATGAGAATCAACAGTGTTACACTGGAGAGATGTACAACAAAGCACTCAGTCAGAGAGAAAAGCTGAAAAACAATGAATGTAAAATGGGTAGGAAACACTGTCAACATTTTCTGTACAATATTGCAATATTTACCCCATACAATAAAAATGTGGTCTCTTGGTAAGAGACTGATAAAAGGAGATTATTGTCATATAGGCTATTGTTGTAATGATTAAATGTATAACTAACAGTAAGTAATATGCTGATATTGGCCTCTAATAAGGTACTCTGTTCACCAATGAGTGTAATTTTAAAATGTCACGCGATAAAAAAAACCTACACATAAGTTATATCCAAGTAATTTTGACATAAATTGTTTTATCATTACATTTCGAAGCAGTACAAAAACAAATACAGGCAGTATACTACGCACAATAAATCCTACTATCATCTTTGTCTTCTAAGAATTTTTTTTTTATCATAAAGAATTAGCTTTATGTACATCTGACTGTTTGATAGGAAAAAACAAAACAAAACCCAAGAATCATTGAATAAAATTATGTATGGCATAACAAAAACACTTACTAGGGATGTGCCCAAAGCCAAATAACTTATTTGGAAACGCACGGAAAATGAATCACGCATTATACATAGGACATTTTCAAGTTAAAAAACGAAATTTTAATGTCACACATATTAATGGCAGCTCCCTGATGCTCACAAATTCTATACAATATAACAACCCAACTACATAATTGTGAGAGAATTGAAAAGACAAACTTAAATTTATATATTTTTTTCCTTTAATCTCATGATTTTCCAAAACCTTGTCGTCCCTTTAGTGGCTCCATATCATTTCCTTTTGGAATTAGGCATTCAGCTTCGGGCACATCTCTAATTATTGCCATTTAATTGTTTTATTTCAGAAGATAAACATACAATCAAAGAAAAAAAGGAACATACCACATGGACAGGGGCAAATGAGAAGGTAAGAGCTGTTTTTATTTATTTGTTGTTTTTTTTTCACACATTCAATTCAATTCACATTTATTTGTAAAGTGCTTTTCCAATAGATATAATTTCAAAGCAGCTTTACAGAAAATACCCGTGTCCACATTACAATTTAGAGTAATGTCCTCAGTGTTGCCGCTTGAAATGCCAAGGTCATGGGTTTGATTTCCAGCGCTCAAAAAAATGATGTGTTGGCTTTACTTAAATTTATTTTGTTAACAGGTTCCACACAACTTGGTTACGTTAAACAAACATAATTTGTTCATGTAACTTCAACATCATGGAAGTCATTTTAAAGGGATAGTTCATGTACTGAAGGTGGACTGGTTCTTAGGTATACTTGGTCATCGCCATGGTGTGTCGGTAAGGACACGGAGACAGAAATCCATTTAAATGACTTTAATGTCCATCAAGGTCACTGGTTACATTGGAATGGATGGTAACTTAGGTGCTTGCGTTTATATTTGTGTGGTCTAAACAAAGGAAAGGAGAAATAACTTACGTAAATTACATGAGTCTAGAATAACATAACATTACCACATGTAAATTACCAGATAACATAACAGATGTAAAGCACAAAGCACTATAACACAATAAACATAAATAGTGTGCATCCTTATACTTATTAGATTCATGAACCGAATAGCTATACATGCATCTGCATAGATCAATATACATTGAGTGTACATTTGACAGATTCATCACGCACATAATAATCTAACATTTCTATTAGGCGGAAAATATTCCACAATGGCCTAAACGGGTTAACATTACACTATTCCAAATAAATGTATTCGGTTTAGGCACTTCTGTTTCTATGAACGTTCGCTTGGGCGGAGCCGCGGGTCTTACGTGCTTCATTTTATCATATAAACAACTCAGAGGCTAGTCTTGATCAGCAGCAACAACAGCAATATATATAAAATAAATAAACACTTACTTTTAGTCATTAACGCACAGGACTCAAGCAGGAATTAGGAAGGAAACAACAAACAAACCATCTCTCAATGATGAAGCGAAACGAAACGAAAAGTTCTGCACACAGTCACCTGACCAATGCTGTGGTTTGATTGGCTGTCCGTCAGCATGATCGGGGCATGACAGCGTGATCGGTGCATGATCACTATGTCCTTGTTGGTGTATTTGCTGAATGGATAATAAAGTTTCCGGCAGATGGCGCCACTGACCGCCTCTTCTACAGTTCACTTTGAAATTAATTTTTAATCTGTTTTAGCTTACCTCAAGGGCATCCACAAAACATAAATTTAACCAACTATTTGGCCGGCTCGCATGCCCAAACGAGTGTGTGCGGCGTGCCTGTTGTTTTGTTTACGGTCTAGCTAGATCCGCTTGCGCTTTGGTAACAAAACGAAGCAACAAAACATCCTCGCGCAATGCAAGCCATTGAAATAAATGGGTTTCATAACGCAGCCCGCTCATGCCGCGTCCTGTTGCAAAAGCATGTGAAAGAAAACTACAAAGTTTGCTAGGCCAAAAAGACTGTTAATCGCGCAATAAAAAAATGTCGCCGTTAAAATGGGTTTGCGTTAACGCCGTTAATAACCTGTTTAACTGACAGCCCTAATATATATATATATATGTGTGTGTGTGTGTGTGTGTGTGTTGTCCTTTCATTTTTTTCTTGTCTGACTCACCTGAATGAAAGTTTCATCATTATGCGGGTCTTTGTCTCTCTCAGGTGAGAATCACCTAATTATACATGATGAGGGCTGGCCTGTTCACGCCCATTCGCATATTGCCTTGGCAAACAAAAAATGTTTCCCACAATATAACCCAATTCACAGGATGATTTTCAGATCATTGTGAAGAAAAAACAATATTCCCTCAAAAATACAAACATGTACATACATGTTGCTCACATTTTATGGTAGCCCTGTTACTGTTGAATAGAGTGTAATTTCACCTGTGCCATTAATATGTTTATAAGCAACTGCAAAAAGTACAAATGTCAGGGCATCTCAAAACATCTCAAGGACCTAAAAAACACCCTAGACCTCAGAGGGTTAAGCGAGCAGCTATTTCAGTCTACGTTATTCTGTTCTATGTTATCCCACATCTCATGATAATGTTGGATAAAAAAAATATATTTAAAAAACGTTCAAAAAAAAAAAAAAAAAAAAGAAGAGAGGTGTGACGTGGGCCTTCTTCGGCTCGTTGAAGACCCTCGCTGCTGCATCCTGGATCAGTTGCAATGGCTTGATAGTACATGCCGGAACTATCAAGCGCATCTGTGCCATTCATTCATCGCGTGCATATGTGCCATTCATTCATTCTTCACACAAAGACACACAATTCATATTCAACATTTTCAACAGTCTTTTTGCGGTTTACTAACTCTATTAATATCGCAATTATCAATATTGCAAGGTAACTTTTGCAAGGTAACAATTATCGCAAGGTAACTTTTGCCAGGATTATTACTCCTCATTCCTCTTTAGCTTGTTTGCCTGTGTATTTCAATCCCTGCGCTTCAGTTGTTGTTTGTCGGTTGTTGGTAGTTGTTTGCTGTTGCCTGTAGCTTGGTTCTGAGTTCTTGTTCGGAGTTTCTTTGTTTACCCTGGATTACCTTTTTGTTTGATTATTATTATTATTAAAATAGTGCTTGCATTTGGATTAGCTCTATGCTATATTCCTGACCCAACATTACAATTCAAGTCATGTTAAAAACATCAATGTATTCAGTCATTCATAAATATTATTAGATCCATCACCTTGACGACATGTCGACATCAACCTATGCCTTTGTTTTTGTAAGAGGTTAGAGACCCCTAGCAACGAAGAACAACAACAGCAACAACAACAAAAGACATATTGTAGCTTTAATATTAACTTTAACTATCCTTTAACAGTTAGAAGTAAAGCATGCTGGGAACTAGAAATCTGATGCAACTCGTGAATATAAACTGAAGCAGTGTTAAAGTAAATAAAAAGCACACGAGTGTGCTCAGGGACAACACATGTCGTGTCAAATTTAACACAAATTGTGTCAGGTAATTACATATGTGACTGTGTGGATTAGGGATCGACCGATATGGATTTTTTAGTGCCGATACCGATACCGATTTTTTTCCCATCAGCCTTAGCCGATGACCGATACGGGCTGCCGATTTTCTTGAGCCGATATTTGGAGCCGATACATTTTGCTCCCTCAATTTACATCTTAAAAATAACATGATGTTAACAAATGTTACAGGTCTCAATTTAATAAAAGTAACATTTAACTAACTTCAAAAATTAATATTTAACAAATAGTAAAAACATGTGAGGTAGAACAAGAACAAGTAGATAAACAATTTAAAAAATATTAAAAACATAAAGTAGAACAAAAAAAGTTCAGTGCTGAAAATGAATATTTAAGCATAAATTAAATAATTACACTATTGCACACAGTAGCAACCAGCATAATAAAGTGCACAGTGCACACTGTACTTCATTTTAAAAGAAACGAACTATGTACTGCATGGTTTCAATTTTCCTACATAAAATAAAATGAGCATGTCTAGTCTCTAATATTACTGCGATTGCGAGGGAGACAAACTCCACACGCCCCAAACCTCAGCCAGGTGGGTGCTGAATAAATCTCCCACAAAAAGCACAGAACAACGTTGGCATTCCTTAATCCTATGACCAGAGTTCGTTACCATATGCATACTAGGGCTGTCAAAATTGCTCAAATGGCGTTTGCATATTCCCTCTAAAAAACATATTCGAACATCCCGTTGCGCGTTTTGTTGTTGCCGCGCATTACATCAATAACAGGACACATTAATACAAAGAGACATAACTACTATTAGATGGTTTATTTGAGTTTAAACATATTTGACAACGTATTAAAAAGCAAGTAAATCAACTAATGGCCAAGACCGCAGAGCTCACTCTGTCTCGCCCTGGACTCGCTCAGGCACTCTCTCTCTCTCTCTCTCGCTCTCACGGTCTCTGCGCGTCGGTTAAATGAACAACAAACAAATGTTGAGTGCTAAACAAGAGTTTTGTGCAAGCAATTTAAGGTTGCGAGTCGCGACTCTTGTCCCAAATATAGCAGGCTTCAGTTCATTCAGTGATTGAAGTTTCACAGTATAGAACCGACAGTGAGCGCTCCGAGCGAGCTGTGCAGCTGTGGTAACGTTATTAGTCTGCAACCGCGGGCGTGTTTTTCCACATTCAAATATTAATTTTCACCTTCAAAATTAATAGATATTCGAATGTAGAATATTCATAGACAGTCCTAATGCATACTGAACGGATAACCTACACCTTAACTATTTGCAGATCCCTAATACAATGGCAAGCAGTTAAGTTTTATAGACGAGGCATTCGCGTTTTTCATTAGGACCCACAAACTTGCTTAGTTGCAAGCACATAACAGTTATAGGGCGACGTGTTTCCATTTTCAAAGTGTTTGACAATATTTCAGCAGTCAAACATTTAAAAGATCCTTTCAAAGTTTAAGTTACCATTCTCGTTAAGAGCAGGTTGCACTCTGCTAGTGGGGGAGGGCGGGGCACGTGAACTGCAGCATCTCCAGCAGCACAGAGCTGCCCGTGGCCGCCTGTCTATAAATAACGCCGGGGGAAAAAAAAACTATCGGCGAACGCACAGCGGTGTATCGGCCGATTCCGATACACGTAAAAACCTCAAATATCGGCCCGATATATCGGCCGGCCGATATATCGGTCGATCACTAGTGTGGATGAAATCACACTGAGAGCAGGTGGATGGTCACTTATGATTGCACTTTACTGGGCCTGTCACAGATAAAACTGGGACAAACAAGAAAAAAAAAGCTGGTTAGCTTACACCAATGTTGCTCAGAACTACATACTTTTTTGAAAACAGCTCATATTACATGTTTTTCAGTACCTTGTGGCTTTCACTATGTCCACCATCACATAAGATATTTGTACAGAACTTTTGGGTACTTTTCCATCCCTACAAACCCTGTGACCTAGATTTCTGCTTTGCATTACACCATATAGACTTTTGTATTAGACTTAAGACATTCCCCAACACTACTCTCTGCTATCTCAGGCAACAACATATATGTTCCTGTCAGCCACCGTAACTTCTGTTGGTTGCAATTTCCAAGATGCCGCTAAAAATTATGCACTGCACCTTTAAAATCAGTCTGAGTTATACAAATTATACTCTTCATGCTTACAAGTCAAGCTTCATTTTATGAGTTTTTATCTATTTCCATGAATTGAGTGGTTTGAGTCGCTGGACTGGAGTCTGTATTGTGATTGAGCTGTCATATTTTCGAGTAATTCCAGTAGTCAACCTGAGGAGAGCCCAACATGGACTTCTCAAAAACTGTCAATGAGACCTATGGACGGAGTGCAAGCACAATTTAGTAAAAGGCATTCAAGAGTCCCGTGTGTATATGTGAGAGATAGAGAGCTGTGGGGGCCACTCAAATGACGCTGTACAATGTCTCTATTAATTCTCTTTAAATTATAATTCAATGCTAATACATTTTAAATCACTTAATTGCTATCATATCACATTTAATTTGATTATTTTAAATTCATTATTGGCCGAAACTAATGATTATTTAAATAATTATGTTTCAAGATAGATGCGTGTGCATCATCAGTATTTTTAATCAATGCATCAAGAAAATTAATGAATTATTACACCCCTAATATTACACCCCTGATGATCTATGAGTCTCAATAATACATAAGATAAAATAAATATGGTAGTAATAATAATAATAATAATAATGTGGCTTTAATAATAAGCTTGCCCTTATAATAACAAAATTAACAAAACACATTTTTTTGTTTACAGGGAAATACAGAAGAGCCAAAAGCTGACCTAAAAACAGATCAATATAACCAAAAAGAAGAGCTTACAAACTCAAATACACTCTTTCAGAGACTTAATCTTCACAGTCAACCCCATAAACTGGGACCTGCTGACATTCTTCAGATAACGGAACCCTTACAGTCCACTGAGTCTTGTGGTGAAAAGGAGCTGATTCAGACTTTCCTACAAAAACTACTGATGCTGAACTACAGAGCAAGATGCACTAAAACTAATGAGACCAATGAGGAAAGTCACAATGAACAAGGCAATGATTCATTTAGACAAGAAGCTAATTCCCATGATTTTTTTTTTAATATGGGGTCAGTGTCTAAAACAAGTCAGTCTGAGCGAATCCATCCGATGGATGTTCAGATGGCCGTGTTTCATTGTGCTGATGGTTTCCTGAAGCAGCTGATGGTCACTAAACTGTCCCAGTGTCAGTACGCTCTGCCTCTGCTTGTTCCTGATGCAGACACACAACAGATTGAGTTTCCTCTCTGGACATTCAGACAAATCAACAAGAGCTGGAAGATGAGAAACACCAACAATGAGATCATCAGTCAAACCCATCCGGTCTACAAGGCACAAACTCCAATGGTGTCTTTCTTCAGGTTTGGCTCTGTGTCTTCATCTTCATCCAAGTCTCAGCTGATGAACAGTCTGATCAATGAGAAACACAACACGTTCTTCCACAGGAACTGTCCAGGCAGCAGCAGAACCAGAGTCCTGATGGATGGAGTGGTGGAGATCGCCTGGTTCTGCCCCTCTGGGAAAAACACGGATAAATTCACTGACTGTGTTGCGTTCTGTAATCTACACGGTGATGCTGGAGTTAATGAGAAACAGCTGCAGATCCTCACTGAAATGGCCTCAGTCAATGTTGTCGTTCTACCACGACTTCAGAAGAATGACAAAAACATGATAAAACTTAAACAACTGTACAAGGACTCAAAGCCACTCATTTGTCTTTTTACTGATGATGATGATCCAGCTGTAGCTGTGATGAAGAAAAAATATAGGATTGGTCTGAAGGACAGAAATCAGGCAGAAGTATCTGAAGAACTCAGAAGAGCCATAAATAAGTGTCTCTCAGAATCATCTTCCACTTTCAGACTTGAAGATTTGTCCAAACACTCAGACATTAGAGTAGATGAGGAAGATGATGAAGACTGCAGGAGAGGAAGAGAAGCAGCACAGCAGATGATGAGTTTACTGGAGAAGAAATATCTGACAAAAATCAAAGACTCATTTCTGCCTCATCAGGGGAAACTGTGGCATCAGTGGAGTCAGAAGAACAAAGAACTTCATCGACCTCAAGGAGAGGAGACAGAAATGGACATCAGTAGAAAACAAACAGAAATGAAGAAAATACGTGAACAGCAGCATGAAACTGATATCAGTGAGTTTATGAAGTTCTTCATTAAAGAAATGAATGCCGATACTAGATATAAGATGTATTTTATCAAATGGCTTGGAATAATCCTGGATGAACGCATCTCACCTGACCTTTCTGTTCTTCATCACAAATATGATGAAACATGGTCAGCAGTCTTAAAACTGAAAGAGAAACATGAACCCGAAAAACTGACAGTGAAACAAGCGGAACTTGAGAGAATATCTGAGGAACTTCGAGCTTCAACCATTGGTTTGGAGCACATCATAAGGGAGATCGGTCAGATCTATGAATCATGTTCATCTGTGAAGAACAAGAAAGATCTGCAGTTTCACTTCTCTTCTCTCCCGAGTCTCGCAGCAGAGATGATGATCTCTGGATTTCCATTGGAGCTGATGGATGGAGATGCTGCTCATGTTCCTGTGATCTGGATCTCTGCTGTTCTAGATAAACTCATCCAGAAACTGGGAGACCAGAGAGTCTTTGTGCTGTCAGTTTTAGGGCTTCAGAGCTCTGGGAAATCCACCATGCTGAACGCCATGTTTGGACTGGAGTTTGCCGTCAGTGCTGGCAGGTGCACCAGAGGAGCTTTCATGCAGCTGGTCAAAGTCTCAGACGAGATGAAAACACAGATGAACTTTGACTATATTCTTGTTGTTGATACTGAGGGTCTTCGTGCTCTAGAACTGACTGGAAGATCAACAAGACATCATGACAATGAATTGGCCACATTTGTTGTTGGTCTTGGAAATCTGACATTAATCAACATCTTTGGAGAAAACCCATCTGAGATGCAGGACATTCTTCAGATTGTTGTTCAGGCCTTCATGAGGATGAAGAAGGTCAAACTGAATCCCAGCTGTGTGTTTGTGCATCAGAACGTTTCAGACATCATGGCTGGGGAGAAAATCATGGAGGGAAGGAGACGACTGTTGCAGACACTGGATGAGATGACAAAACTTGCTGCTGAAGAGGAAGTCTGTAATGCAGAAAGTTTCAGTGATGTCATTAAATTTGATGTTCAGAATGATGTGAAGTATTTCGCTCAGCTCTGGGAGGGCAGCCCACCCATGGCACCACCAAACCCAAACTACTGTGAGAATATTCAAGAACTAAAGAAAACTATTATATCTCATGCCTCAAAGTCACATGGAATGATGCTGATAGACCTAAAAGAACGTATTAAAGATCTCTGGGAGGCTTTACTGAATGAAAGTTTTGTGTTCAGCTTCAGAAACTGTTTGGAGATTTTAGCCTACAGGAAACTGGAGACAGAATACAGCAAGTGGTCCTGGAGTCTTCGCAGTGCCATGATGGAAACTGAGAACAAACTACACAACAAAATAGAAAATGAAGCAATTCATGAGGTTGAGGAAACTGATCTTCAAAAAGAACTGAAGAAGACAAGTGAAGAAGTGGAGAAATCAATGTCAGAATTCTTTGAGAAAGACAAAGATAAAGATATACTGATTCAGTGGAAAACATCATTTGAAATCAAAATCAAAGATATTCAGGAAAACATTGTGAGAGAAACAAAGAAGAAATTAAATGAGATTCTTCAGCAGCGAGACCTGAAGAAAAAGATTGATGCTCTGAAGATACATCATGAAAACACTCTCTACAAAAAGAGCAAAGAACTTGCCATAAAACTCAAATACAAAGCAAATGATGAAGAAACACTGAAGAAAGAGTTTGATTCCTTTTGGAAAAAATATGTAAAAAACATCACAGACAATAAAACTTTGAATGAAGACATAGACATATTGAGAGATGTAAGAACACTCCACAATGACATCCATCGGGCAATTCTGCATGTAGACATCTTGAGAGAGGAAAGTGAGCCCAACATTTTTACCGAACATAGTTATTCCAAATATGTTATTAAAAAGTTCACAAAAAAAGGGCTTAAAGAGAATGTAAAGGACAGTTGCAGAACATTTGCAGAAAAATTGGGAATGGTCCAAACTCTGTCTCGAGAGGATGAAACCCAAATAAGATCATTAGTCACAGATGTTGCTCAGCAGACAGACAGAATGATTCAGTCATTCAACATTTCAAAGATGGGCTACAACATCAGCTGCATTAAACAAATCACAGATTACATCAAGATGAGAGTAACAGAACATCAGAAAGGAATGAAATATAAGTTCAAGAATGAATTCTTTGTGTATTTAGTTTTTTCCATTTGTAAGAGAGCAAACAAGATGATAACTGACCAACACAGACTGTTTAAAGAAGCCAATGATCCAGAAATATATGTTGAGAAGAAGAGAGAAGAGTACTATAGTATTTTCCAGAAATACTGTCATGGAGCAACATCAGCTGCCATATTTGGAGAGATCATCTGTCAGAAACTGAAAGAGCCCATTGAGCAGAGTGTCTACAAGAAGACTGCCAGAGAATTAGCAGATGAAATGAGATCAAACTGTGAATCACTGAATGGAAACAGATCAAATCTGGAGAAACACATCCTGAAGACACTGGCAGATAAAGAGAATTTTGACAAATACATGGACTACATAGATAATCCAAAAGATCACTTCAAGAGGTTCATCAGAGATGAAGTCAGTCAGTACATCACTGATAAGTTCAGTGTCAGTGTTTTACCCAAGATGGAGGAGAACATTGAACTCCTGCAGCAGAAGATCATAAAAGCAGCACATGAATCTACTGAACATGTTCAAGAGAACAGAGGAGATGTTGGATTATGGTTGAAGAGTTTCACACAGCAGCTCTCAGATGTGCTGATCTTCTCTGCAAAAGACCTCAGTGGAGTCAAACATGAAGATGTTGATGATTTCAGCCTACTAGAAGATGTGATAAAGAAAGAACTTCCTGATATATTGTCAGACATCAGCAGTACATTCAACACGGAGACATTTCCAGTAAAGCTGGACTATAATTTCAGGCCAGATGAGCTTCTGATTGATCACCTCCATCAGTGCTGTTGGGTTCAGTGTCCGTTCTGTGGAGCCGTCTGCACCAATACCATAAAAAAACATGATGGAGATCACAGTGTTCCTTTTCATCGTATTACTGGAATAAAAGGGTTGATGTACAGAAATACAACAAACTTGTCTATTAGCATCTGCACATCAGCAGTAGCAAGTGATCGATCTTTTTATGATAATTTGTTAGATAATTCAGTACCCTGGAGAGATTACAGAAGAGCAGGAGGAGTTTATGCAGACTGGAGCATCACCCCTGATCTCTCTGAACTGCCCTACTGGAAGTGGTTTGTGTGCAGATTCCAGAAAGATCTGGAAAGCTGCTACATTAGAACATTTCAGGAGGGTGTGATACCAGATGAATGGAGAAAATACTCTAAACAGGAAGCTATTAACAGTTTGGATACATACAGTAATTGAAAAAAAAAAATGAATACAGACATTTTTTTTTTTTTTTTTTTTGTCTACATGTTAGGAGCACATAATACAAATTATCTGGTCATTAGCAGGTCTTAAAATTAGTTAAATCCAACTCAGATAGAAGAAAATAGACTAACGAATAGCCTATTGAAATGAACAAAAAGTTGACTTTTGCTCCTAGGAATAGACATAATTTTAGTCTGAGAAAGTTTCTCCATGCAGATGTGGATTTTGTGAAACGTGATTTCTCAATGTCTGGTGATCGTGTGGGGAGATATATATTTGACAAGGTGATGCGGACTGTGAAAATATATGCTGTGGATCTTGGAGAAGATTTCACATCATGGGACCTGTGTCTTATTTTCCCTGCCAAAGACTGATTTACATTTTTCAATTATATCTGGAGATATTTGCATGACTGAGGCTATGATTCTTCGTACATCGCAGAGTGGGACGGTGTGATTCCTGAAACAAGGTTTCTCGTGGTTGGGGATCATCGTAAAATGTTGTAACATGTTAGCTGTTACTCTTGTATTTTTTTATACTCGCCACTAGGGGGGGCTTGAGTGTCAAATCCTCTGGTATTTAAATCAGGCAGCAGTATACATAGTTCCCACATGACGTCACAACATACGGGCATTTGCCGACCCGGCGCCATTGCTTAGGGCAAAACATAAGAAGAAGCAATACAAGTTGAACGAAGTGAAATGAGTTTCGTGCTATAAAGTGAAAATGGTCATCTCCTGCTGAGTCAATGGATGATAAAATCGTGCCGGAGGTTCAGTTAAATCGGGATTTTACACTATACCCGTCATTAGACTCCATATGGATGTGAGAAGACTAAGCTTTTGTCCGAACAACGATGGAGATTATGGCTGGCGAGCATAAACAGGAAAGAAACTCACTCAAAACACGCACGAATTTGTTTGACAAAAGCACAATGTTGTGTTTTATTGCGAGTGTAAATAAATATAAGTTAACACATTGCAGTTTGAATAATGTCCTGTATGAACAAAATGACGAGGTATTAAAAACATACAAAACAACATTGTTTCCACTGTTTGATCTCACATTCCAGCATTGCAATCTCAGATTATGTCCCTAAAGATCCCGCGTATAATGTAGTTCCTCATTTATTACATTAATTAAATTGCACGCGAGTTATTTATTTTAATATTCATGCACCGAACCATGACGCCCGCAAGTACATGCATATTACAGAAATCACCGGTGACTGGGGAACATAGCAATTAAGTTGTGCAGGCTATGGCTTTTTAAAGGGTTAGTTCACCCAAAAATGAAAATTAAGTCATTAATTACTCACCCCCATGCTGTACCAACCCCGTAAGACCTTCGTTCGTCTTCGGAACACAAATGAAGATATTTTTGATTAAATTTGAGAGCTGTATAACTACCACATTGGCTCCTAAGGAACTGCCTCTTGACGGCCCAAAAAGTCAATGAAGAAAATGTTTAAATATCCCAAGTGACTACCGTGGCTCAACTATATGTTTATCAAGCGACGCGAATACTTTTTGTGCGAAAAAACAAACAAAAATAACGAGTTTATTCGACTATTTTTTTCTTCCTTGTAGGCCAGAACGAGACTTCCTTATAGATTTCCACGACGCATGCGCGAGAATTGCGATCTGAAGTAGTGTAAGCTGTGTACGCAGATCGCAAATCTCGCGCATGCGTCGTGGAAATCTATAAGGAAGTCTCGTTCTGGCCTACAAGGAAGAAAAAAATAGTCGAATAAACTCGTTATTTTTGTTTGTTTTTTCGCACAAAAAGTATTCGCGTCGCTTGATAAACATATAGTTGAGCCACGGTAGTCACTTGGGATATTTAAACATTTTCTTCATTGACTTTTTGGGCCGTCAAGAGGCAGTTCCTTAGGAGCCAATGTGGTAGTTATACAGCTCTCAAATTTAATCAAAAATATCTTCATTTGTGTTCCGAAGACGAACGAAGGTCTTACGGGGTTGGTACAGCATGGGGGTGAGTAATTAATGACTTAATTTTCATTTTTGGGTGAACTAACCCTTTAATAGACAGATTAGCATCATGCTACTTCGCTATGATGACTTAAGTTACTTTTCCATTGATTGCACTTGAGCAAACGTCACCAAACCAACCCCACGTCAATATGATCGTACACCTCCAGTGATTTCCAGGCTTGGAATTGCTCACATGTGTAAAAACTCCTCACCAATACCAGATAATTGTACACATGAAAATACTGTATCTGAGGCAAAGTTGCATAATCGGTGCTCAGTGCTTCATTTGTTGCATAAGGATACACACCATTTATGAATGAAATTTTCGCATTGTACCTCTCTATGTCTTGTTTTAATAGTCTCTTTATAATCTATTACACTTTGTCTTTTCATGATTTGCATAACAATATAAACAGACATAAATATTTGTTTGTAAAACGACATTCTCTGATAAAACGTTGTAAACGCCTATGGTAAACACAGCGGTTTTGCCCTCAAAGATGGCGTCTCCGGGGAGGTCACGTGACATTTTTTTTGCCTGTGGGAACTATGTATAGAAGAGGTCGGTTTTGTTTGGAAGAAGGGAGCATGGGTTCAACCTAGTACCTCCAGCAAACACTTGGAGTCTTGATTGAAAAACTTTCAAGTTCAATCATATGGACTCTTTAAATGTTAAGATTTTTGGTTTGGAATCCATGCGAGCTGCTAAGACACTGGCGATATGAACAAAATGATTTCTGCCCGATGGATGTTCTCACTGTATCTTTTTGTGGTGTGGCGGGTGTCCTAGCTACAAGAGAGTGACTTTGTGGAATGTTTTGTTTTTGTTTCTTGGAGGAGCACTAAGAGGGCTGTTTGGACATCATCCTAAACTTTGATTGTTGCGATTTTGATTGTAGTGATTCTACACTTATACCATTGAATCACTCAACCACAACCTTGAGCTGATTAGCTTAGATATTATTTATTTTCATTTTCATTGCTATTCTTTTTCCATGATTGATTAAGTCGTACTCTACAAAAACATCTGTGGAAATACTGCTTTCATTCATTTGACCGGTTGCATTGAAATGGAGTATCTCTAAATGCATTGTCATGTTTATTTCTTCTGGGTTTCCTAAACCATGTATAAAGGTTTACAAGTTAATTCCTGTCTTTATTGTTTGTGGCTATACACTTGGAAATATTACACACAAAAAAAAAAAAAAAATATATATATATATATATATATGTGTGTGTGTGTGTGTGTGTGACCGTGTGTGTTTGTGCGGATGGAATCACACGGAGAGCAGGTGGATGGTCACTCAAGGGCAGTCTTTACTGAGCCTGAGACAGACAGACTGAGACAAACAACTAACACTGGTTAGAGTGGGCAGTGCATTCACGCATCTTAAATGTTGCTCACAGATCAGCAGGAGAGATGTGAAACTCTGCTTGTACATTTTACAAGGTATGTATAGTGGAATTAAACTAAAAATAAGACATACATTAAAGAAATAAAGTATAACTCACTGTCTCTGTTCTCATTTCTCATCAATGTACAATTGCAGACAGACAATAAATTTAAGCAACCATCATTTTCATATTTTTGGTATAAAATGAAAAACAGAAAAAAAAAAAAACAGGCACCTAAAATGGCGCCGTCACTCTGTTCAGCACGTGCGAGCACGCAGCACATGTGAGCACACAGCATGTGTGCTAATGCTACTTCAGCTAATACATTTATACACAGAACATGACAAATTTGAATACAAAAACATACCTGAGACAAGCAACCAACACTGGTTAGAGTGGGTAGTGCATTCATGCATCTTAAATGTGGCTCACAGATCTTAAATGGAATCAACAGAGGATCGGAGTTCACAAGCAGATTAACATAGGCTACACAGTCATCACATTTTACCATCGCAAATAACATATTTGACTCGACTGATAGAGCTAGGGACTGACAGATGTCATGAAGTAAACTTGTGTGAAGTATTAAAGTCCATCTTTGCACTTTAAAACATAAAACTCTCTTTTTAATGACGCAGCACTTTTTGATGCGACTTACCAGCAGGAGAGATGTGAAACTCTGCTGGCTGGTAACGTAACTCCGCCCACAATATCACGCACGCGAATGCGAGTGACGCAACAGCCAATTGGAAATTTGCCAATTTAAAGCATGAATTTATAAACATTATTTTAAACTCCGTTACATATATATTATAGCAACATTAATTTATTGGTTGGTGGGCCCCTCCTATTATTCAGATATTATATAGCTACATGCCAATAAAGTGGAGAATGGTTATAAAGTTACCAGATGAAAGTTTTTATATTTTCTGCTGCAACGACAAGACAAAGCTCCGTGAATGAGTCTGGCCAATTCCAGAGTCTTAGCATCACAAAAACTATGACTTGAAATTTTTTGCTTCAGTGGAAAGTTTTTTGTATGCTCAACATTTTTTTTTTTTAATGCATTGAAAAATTGTTTAGATGGTGAGACCTCTATGATCATTACAAAGTTACCCAGAGAGGAGTGTTACTTACTCCACAGACATAATAAGAAAATAATACATATTGCAAACAGTTTTATGGTTGAAAATTAAATAAACCTTTCAAATGAGGATGTGTTGAATTTGCAGGACAAGCTCAAATTATTAAAAGGCATCATTTGAGCTTGACCTGTGAATTTAAGTGTCATTGTTAGAGATGTTATTTGTGTGTGTGTGTGTGTGTGTGTGTGTGTACATATATGTGGACATGACATGTATTTTTAAAAGGGAACTGTGTACATCGTTTGCCCCAGACATAAAAAATGTGTGAAACTAGAGAAAAGTCAAATGGGCTGCGAAAGAAAGCCTTACCAAATAAAGCTTTTGATAAACCAAATAAAGTGCTGCATAAGTGTGAAAAAGGAAATAGATGTTTTGAACATGTACTTCTGCAAGCTTATGTTAAGACATTCGTGTGTTTGTTATTTTTGCCTTTGGAATTTTTCTCTTTGCATTATTCAAAATCTTTTTAAATAAAATGAAATTGTGTTGTGGTGATTCATACAACTTTTTAAACAAGACTATGAGTAATGAACTTACGGTGAGGCGCGCAGCGAGATGGTCACATCGCATTGAGCTCCTTTGAAAGGCAGCTTAACTGCTTATTTTTGGCAACAATTTGTTTATTTAAGATGTTGGACAGTGTTTATTTTCGTTTTTATTCTGGTCCATTATCAGCATCGTGAAATGGCGTCAAAGAAAAGTACGGGCTCGCCTGCCAAACAAAGCTCCGGTAAGCGATTCAAAACTAGCCCTAGGTCTGGTGCTTCGCCAGCTAGTCTACTCCCCGAGGAAATCTCCTTGCTCATCAGGCAAACGTTAGAGGCAGAGAGAGAGACGCTACGAGACTTTGTAACCAAAATGCTGAGTGAGATTTTGGCTAAATCATTAAGTACGGTTGAAAGCAAATAGCGGAAAATGGGGCATTACTGAGATCACTGAACAAAGGTGTCTGTTAAAGACAGTACAATGCATGGAGTGCTCCGCCAGACTAAAAAGGAGACCAACCACTGTCTCACAGAGCTAGACAGCCACAAGAAGAAAGTCACCGAGATGGAAGATAGATCGAGGAGGAACAATGTGAGATTAATTAACTTACCAACAGGGGAGGAAGGTGATGAGCCAGTCGGATTTCTTTGTAAAATGCTTCCTCAGTGGATCCCGACACTGGCCCGGAATTCCATAGAAATTGACCCAGATAGCAAACTGACATTGAATCAACGTGGAAATATGACATCGAAACAACGTTGATCTGACATTGTTTTGCTCATCGAATTAACGTTGAACCAACGTCAGACGCGTCATTCTTTCAAAACTAACGGAAAATCAACTTGAAATCAACGCGTTGTTTCAACGTTATGAAAGCAAACCAATTTTCGATTTTCATTTAGCTTTGAAGAATGCGGCATCTGACGTTGGTTCAGCGTTAATTCGATGAGCAAAATCAATTAAAAAAAGAAAGAGCGTTTCCACGTTGATTCAATGTCAGTTTGCTGTCTGGGGACAGAGCCCATCGAATCTTCTTTGCTAATTCTGTCTGGCCGTATGGCGTATACAATGATCTTCAGAGTGCTCCGGTATCGTGATCGTCAAGGTATACTGCAGGGAGTTCGTAACACTAAACCTAAGCTTGACAACACTCAGCCATATCTGTCAACACTCCCGTTTTTCCCGGGTTTCTCACGGTTTTTAGCCCTATCTCCTGGAAATGCACAAAAAGGGGTTCACAAATAAATGGCAGGCAGAATTGTGTTTATGACATAAAACACATTTGTAAATATTTGTATTTTTTTTTTTTCAAATCTCATTTCATTTATTTGTGAAACTGTTTACATGTATATGTGCATCTCAATCTATTTATTTGGAATAATGCAACAATTCTAACCCCATATTTATGAGCTTGGCCTGAGATTTTGATGGACAGAGGTAAGCGTGTGTTTCAGAGTTGGCAATCCTGTGATTAATTACCGGGCTCCGCCCTAAAGACGTCCTGATTGCCTGTGTGTGATGAATCAACCTGTTCTGAATTATTAAGAGCGTTTAAATAACACTGGCATCAGTGCAGCTGATTTAGAGTTAAGCTGTAGAACAGTGTGGATCTTAACAGAAGTGGTGCAGGGTTTTGTGACAGAGACTCTTGTTTTCTGTCTAGTCTTGGATGATTGCTCTTCATGGCTGTGAGGGAGATTTGTGTTTGGAGAGGGCTCATTTTAGCCCTTTTCCTCTTTGCTGTTGATGGACAGAAAAGGCCGTAAGTCCATGGGCTTTGAAGAGAACAGAAATGGTCTAGTGTTTAAATGCAGTTTTAAATTTAGCAAAATGAGGCACCAGAGCTTTAACCGTAGGTTAAAAGTTAGTCATATTGTACTTTATTTAAATATTTTTTTTTTTTTTGACAGTCAATCCCACATACTTCAATCTCTTAATGATTACTCTCATGCAGCTCTAGGTTTTTTGTTAGAGTACTGAATTGTTAACTCGATTCAAGCACGTCTTATCATTAAATGAAATCTGTAATTTAAGAAGCTGGGTTATAAAACCTTTGGCAATTTAAGTTGGTGCTGCTAGTGATGAGGATGAGACCAAGTCTTTGAGGAAGCAAGTCTGAGTCAAGGTTTTATTGTGACATATCAGTTTTGATATTCATGATTTAATATCACCCCAGTTAATAATCAACAGTTAGGCCTACAGACTAAGCTAGATTGAGAGTTGTTTAGAGCAGTCGTTAGTGATGGGGGACGAGACCGCCAATGCCAAGACAGAGTCTTTGAAGGAACAAGTCCGAGAAAGCAGAATTCGGTCTCGAGACCCCTGTGGCAGCCACTGTCTGTGAATGGCCAATCAACATGTAAATAATCTGACCTGATTTCCTTGTGTCTCTGAACCTAAACTTCATGATGTTTCCACAGGTTATTCATGGTGACGTTCCCTGCAGTGATTGAATCTGGATCAGACGCCAAATTGTGTGCAAGTCTTCTGAAACCCCAAGAGAGTCTCACAATGACCGTTTCCCTGCTTGATGATGAACATGGGATGACTCAACTTGTGGAGCAAGTTTCTTCAAAGCCATTTCACAGCTGCTTTTGTTTCCAGGTCTGTCATTAGATGCAAGGTATCTCTTATCTTATTTTGTCTGGTTTAACCAAGTTTTCCTACAGGCTCCTCAAGTGGATAAAGAGTCTGTTCAGATGCTAAAGGTAGAAGTTCAAGGGAAGGTCTTTAGAGCGACTGAGGAGAGGAAGGTCATGTTCAGACGTTACTTGCCTTTGACCTTCATCCAAACAGACAAACCCATCTACAATCCAGGACAAACGGGTGAGCTGTGAATGTCCCTTGGTTGAATGAGAGGTGGAGGAAAGTTCATTATGCTACAAGTTCTAATCTTTAATTGCATAATGCACTTTGTAAGTTTTGCTGGTTTTGCAGTGAATTTCAGAGTCGTCACCATGGATGCCAAATTTTTGCCTCTTGATCAGATGGTAAGAGCTGACTATGAACAAAATGCAAATTTATTGCAGGTTATTTGTGCACAGTTTCTATTTTCTTCAAAGACTTGGCTGCATTGATGTTTATGCTTTGTGTCTTGCAGTACAATCTGGTGGTGGTGGAGGTGAGAATTTGCTCCGGTGCAGGTTTTTGAATGGAGCCAACACAGCTTATTGTATTCTTGCTGTGTTTGTAGTTTTTCCTTTGAGCTGTTAATTCTTTTTTAAATAGGACAATCAGAATAACCGGATTGGTCAGTGGACAAACATTTCCTCAACGGACTGGATATTGCAGCTTTCTCATGAGTTAAACCCAGAGGCTCAGTTAGGGATGTACACGCTAAAGGCTTTCATTGGTGAACAAATGATCTCCCAGGTTTTTGAGGTGAAAAAATACGGTAAGTCTTTGTATATAATGTGCAACAGTACAACATCAGATCGAAGGTCTTAATCTTGAAACCTTTTGTATCTAATTTAGTTTTGCCCAAGTTTGACGTGACCGTAAACACACCACAGATGTACAGCGTTGGAGATGTGGGACTGAAAGTTGAGGCTTGTGCCAAGTGAGTGACCTTTACCTTTTTTTTCTTGCTGCCACATGTCTTGTGGTGTTGTCTCGCTTATCTTGTTCCTTGTGACCTTTTTCCCAGATACACATATGGCCAACCTGTACCTGGTGAAGCCTTGGTGGAAGTATGCCGTGAGCCGTTTTCATACATCATGGCTCCTGAGTT